CTGAAACAGCTCCTGATCTCCCCACCTGACCGACAACCCCCTGACCCCGACCACAGACCCGAAAACAACCCCTTATCTCCTCACCTGACCGAGACCAACCCCCCTGACCCCGACCACAGACCCGACCCCTCTCTAGCCCCTGATCATAGCCGCTGCCACCTCCAAACCCCTCTCTAGCCGCTGCCACCTGCTGCGTCATGTCGGACCTAGAGTTTGGCATGGGTTCCCTCGACTCAGTCCTCGAACTGATGATAGGAAGAGTATATATCTCACATCGATGAGATATATAACTGTTTTTGGTTCTTGTTTCCTCTGAGAAACGAGAATTTGTTTGTGATCCTACTCTTGTTGTGCAGCAGAGGTGCTGAGAAACGAGAATTTGTTTGTGATCCTACTCTTGTTGTGCAGCAGAGGTGCTGCCAAAATTTTCACTGTACACAACAAGGGTCGGAAGAGAAGGTGAACGGTTGGTGGGTTTGAAGCCTGTTCGATGGAGGAGATCATCAAGAAGTTGAACCCTGCGGAGGTGTCAACTTTGATGAAGTTGATGAAGTTGTCGGCTGATGAAAACGCGACAAGACCATCGAAGAAGTTGGAGCTTCCGACCATCGATCTGAAGCTTGATGGACCGAGTACCTACCTGAGTTGGTCACGACGAGTGAGATACACCCTTGCAGGGAGGAACCTGGAGGGTTACTTGACCGGAGAGAAGACAGAACCGGATGAGGACTCGGGAGGACGAGATGAGTGGAAGTACACTCATATGTTGGTGTACATATGGCTTCTTAACTCGTTGGTCCTGACGATCGCCGCCACGGTGGATGGCATTGAGAAGGTGAAGGACGTCTGGGAGAAGTTGAGGAGGACATATGATGGAGTGGGGAATAACCTGAGGGTGTTCCAGATTAAAGGAGAGATCGACGCCACAGTCTAGGGAGAGAGGACTGTACAGGAATATGCTATAGAGCTGGAGCGCCTGTGGCTGGACTATGATCATTTTTCCCCCCGGACTAGCTGTAAGGACCCGAGATGTAAAGAACGGGAGGCCTTTCTACAGGAGAGGACTATGGTGTTTCTTAATGGATTGACATCAGAGTTCGCTCAGCGAATTGCATTACTGCTAGCTTAGCCGAAAATTCCCACGCTTGAGGAGGCTGTCTCTGCTATGATCCAGGAGGAGACTCGCATTCGGCTGCATTCCCACGCTTGAGGAGGCTGTCTCTGCTATGATCCAGGAGGAGACTCGCATTCGGCTGCAGGGGGGGACAAGTGGACCTCCGGTGGTGAAGTCAGCACTGGCAACCTCTAGCACCACTGGATCTAGGGGAGAGACTCGACAGTGCTACAACTACGGTGCGGTGGGTCATCTAAGACATGCTTGCACCAAGCCATCCAAGGAAGGAGATTCGGGTGGACGTGGATAGTTCGGAGGTCGTGGTCGTGACCGTGGGGGTCGACGAGGTGGAAGAGGAGCAGGAAATCGGGCGAATCTGATGGTAGCAGAAGAAGAAGAAGCTGAGGTGGTCTTTACAGAGGAGGATCATGCTCTCCTCACGATACTCAGAAAAAAACAGCAAGTAGCAGGGGATGGAGATTTGAGGAGTGGGACTGCGGAGGCATCCACTTCGTTCTTCGCCAGAGGCAACACTGCTACCTATGCTCATCCGACCAAATGTACTGATGACATACATGCTCTTGCTTCTATATCTCCCGACAGATCATCAGAATGGATAGTCGACTCCGGTGCGTCTCGCCATGTGACAGGTAATGCTAGTGAGTTCTCATCATATACTCAATTAGCATTGCCTGATAGTATTCAAACAGCTGATGGTACATTTCAGTCGGTGGTTAATAAGGGTACAGTCGATTGTACTGGTTCTGTAACTTTGTCCAATGTTTTGCATGCTCCTTCCTTTCCAGTCAATCTTTTGTCCATTAGTTCTATCATCCTCCAACTAAAATGCATTGTTTCTTTCGATATTCCTAAGGTGATTTTCCAGGAGAAGGGGACAGGGCGGAGACTTGGGACTGGCACATGACGTAGTGGACTGTGGTATCTGGATCGTGAATGGCTGGATTCAGCATTGGTGTCAGTCATAAAGGAAGCAGGAGTAGGATCTAAAATGAGTGCTGAAAATGAGTTAATGCTTCATCACCAGCGTTTGGGACACTCATCCTTTAGTGTTTTAGGTAGATTGTATCCTTCTTTATTTGAGAAAGCAAATAAACAGAAACTTGTGTGTGATGCATGTGAGTTTGGAAAGCTTACTAGAAGCTCTTATGTTAGTTCTGGTCATAGAAGTTCTCATGCATTTGACTTGGTACATTCAGATGTTTGGGGGCCTTGTTCCACAAGTTCTATGAATGGATACAAGTATTTTGTTACATTTATTGATTGCTTCTCTCGTGTTACTTGGTTATACCTGATGAAGAATAAGCGTGATGTGTTTGGGTGCTTCCAAAATTTCCATAGGACTGTTCAGACTCAATACGGAGCAGTGGTGAAAGTATTGAGGTCAGATAATGGGACAGAGTATACCAACAGAACCTTTGAAGAATATTTGTCAGCTCAAGGAATACATCACCAGACAACCTGTCCATACACACCAGCACAGAATGGGGTAGCGGAAAGGAAGAACAGACATCTTTTAGAGGTTGCTAGAAGCATGATGATCTCTATGAATGTCCCAGAGACATTATGGGGACAAGCAGTATTGACCGCAGCAGTGTTGATCAACAGAATGCCCTCGAGAGTGTTGGATTGGAAGTCTCCGTGTGAGATATTGAAGGGAGATAATGGTGGGATCCTTCCACTCAAGGTGTTTGGCTGTGTGTGCTTTGTGAAGGACAACAGGCCATCTGTCGGGAAGCTTGCCCCTAGAGCTGTGAAGTGCATCTTTGTGGGATATTCTGCTACTCAGAAGGGATATGTTTGCTGGAGCCCGGTGGAGAAAAGGTTGTTTGTGAGCATGAATGTGTACTTTAGAGAACTCGAGCCATATTACACCCAGAAGGTAACTTCATCCGCTGGTAACTCGCCTAATACTAGAAGTATGAGGTGAGAGGAGGAGCATGGTGAGAGATCGGTGAACAATATGGAGAAATCCATTTCTGTATCGATTCCTTGGGAGGGAGAATTGGTTGAGGAGGAGCAGGAGAATGACGAAGAAAAGGAAAATGAGACAAGAGGTGTTAGGCCTACTGTTCAGGGGGAGCTACTAACCTATAGTAGGAAGGGCAAGCAAATTGCAGGAACAGTACCTACAGTGTCACTAGTGCTGCCAAGTCTCTTACCAATGCCTGCCCCGACTCCTGAAACACCTACACCACCATCAGTTTCATCCCAAGATGATAACATTCCTACTGATAACATTCCTCTCCCTACTAATAACATTCCTCTCCCTACTCCTCCCACACCAATATCAGTACGGAGGACCACTCGTAGTAATACAGGAAATCCTCCCGATAGATATGGTTGGGATCTTGCCCAATTTATATCATATTCTAACATCCACCCTGTACATGGGGCATTCATTGCATCATTGGACTCTGTTACTGTACCTAACAATTGGCAGGTTGCTAAGAAGGACCCAAAGTGGAAAGCGGCTATGCACGAGGAGCTAGGAGCTCTAGAGAAGAACCGCACTTGGGAGCTAGAAAACTATCAGAAGAAAAAAGAGCAGTTGGATGCGAGTGGGTCTTCACTGTGAAGCAGAATCCAGATGGACAAGTTAAGCGCTATAAGGCTCGTCTGGTGGCAAAAGGGTATAGTCAGACATATGACATCGATTATGATGAGACCTTTACACCGGTTGCGAAGATGAGCACTGTTCGGACCTTAATCTCTCTAGTAGTAAATGGTGGATGAAAGCTACACCAACTAGATGTGAAGAATGCATTTCTTCATGGAGATCTAGTGGAGGAGGTATACATGGAGATACCACCAGGATTCAGTACAGATCAGACAGTGGGAAAGGTCTGCAGATTGAAGAAGTCTCTCTATGGACTGAAGCAGTCTCTTCGTGCTTGGTTTGACAGATTCAGAAGGGCTATGATTGGTATGGGGTATCAACAAATCAACGCCGACCATACAGTGTTCTTTCGACGGAGTGGAGGCCATATTACCATACTTGCAGTATATGTGGATGATATGATTATTACAGGGGATGATGAGAAGGAGATTGCCCAACTCAAAATGAGACTAGGTAAGGAATTCGAGGTGAAAGATCTTGGCTTGCTTCGATACTTTCTTGGAATAGACTTTATTGGAATAGAGATAGCTCGAGGAACGGAGGGAATCGTTCTATCCCAGAGAAAGTATGCACTGGATCTTCTCAAAGAGACAGGGATGTTAGGGTGCAAACCTGTAACTACACCGATCGACCAGAAGTTCAAGCTAGGTGCTGAGGCTGGAGAACTAGTTGATCGTGACAGATACCAGAGATTGGTGGGAAGGCTGATCTATTTGAGTCACACACGTCCTGATATCTCTTTTGCAGTGAGCGTGGTGAGTCGCTACATGCACGATCCGAGGAAGGGTCATATGGACGTTGTGTACCAGATTCTGAGATATTTAAAGAGTGCCCCCGGAAAGGGGCTGATATTCAGAAAGAATGGACTTGTGAGCATCGAGGGTTATTGCGACTCTGATTAGGCTAGCTGTGCTGATGACAGGAGATCCACCTCAGGATATTGTATCTTTATAGGAGGCAACTTGGTCTCGTGGAAAAACAAGAAGCAATCGGTGGTAGCGAGGTCAACAGCTGAAGCAGAGTATAGAGCCATGGCTTTAGGAGTTGCAGAGTTGTTGTGGTTGAAGAGTATGTTGGTAGAGCTGAAACTGGATCAAGGAGCCAAGATGAAGCTGTGGTGTGATAACAAGTCAGCCATCAGTATCGCTAACAACCCAGCACAGCATGATAGAACCCAACACATCGAGATCGATAGGTTCTTCATCAAAGAGAAATTGGACAATGAACTACTGGAGTTGAGTCATGTTCCAACTAAGGATCAGGCAGCAGATTGTCTGACTAAAGGACTTAGTTCGTTAGATATGATTAGAGGATGTGACAAGATGGGCTTAGTGAATATCTTTCGCCCATCTTGAGGAGGAGTGTTGACATATGAGTAATATGTAGGGACTTATTTGTAAGTTGTATTTTGTAGGGGCCTATATAAGCCCAAGAGATTGCATAATAAGATTAGGGTTTTCACATTCTTTAGCACCACTAGGGAATTGCTGCATGAAAACAATCACCATGCTTAGTTAAAGATTGTTGTTTTTGAACTCAACTCTTGCACAAACATTTGTATCTCTCTTCTGCATATTGAAATTGATATCTAGCTACAGAGTTCCACTGATTTCAGTCCGCTGCATTGATTCACTCACCCCCCAAAAAAAAATCCCACCCTACCCCCACCCAACCAACCAAAAAAGGGCAAAAAACTCAGTTTAACTGATATAGAGAAACAGTCAGAAACCAGCTAGAAGGCTTAACTTATGTGTCCTCCTTCTTTTGGTCCCAATTAATAAATGCTAAGAGAAGACGATATAGCTGCATGGTCCACAATACAGTTAGACATCAAAAGCAAAACAAGATTCTCCATACATCAGCTCAAATATTAATAAAACATCCTTAAATTTGTGAAATTGATGTCTACAAAGCAGAAATAAACTTCAAAGTCCCTCTTAAATTCTCCGCCAGAGATACTAAGCATAATGACATACACCCTTGGTTTCTCTTGTCTAATAGCTCTTCAGAACTTGAGTTTCACAATAGTCTAGAGATTGCAGATGCTCAGTATCCAGCACTCTTGGAATATGCAAACAAATTAAACTTTTTAAGAACATTTCTTGAAGCAGGTGAATGTTAAGTAGTTTCACATGAACTCGGAAGCAAACTTCTACTTCATGGAAGTCTCCTAAAAGTTCTCATCAAACATCACATTTACTTCTCGCTTCCAGCAATCTAACTGAATTTTGAAACAGGAATCTGTCCACTTTGTTGTGGCAAAGTTAAGAGCAAACTTATCGAATCCTTTCAAAATTAAAGAGAAAAGAAATACTATAAACCTCCTCTAGGATTACTAGTTTAAGCCATCTAATAAAGAATATAACCAAATTAGATATTGAAAATTCCTTGCAGAAATGAATTGAATACTAATCAGAACTCCTCTCGAAAAGATCAAAACAGAAAGGGAAAATTTTCAATTAGCAGAATTTCCTAAAGCATTCAAAGATAAATTAATATGAAAACAGGACGCACATTGCAAAAGCAAACAGAATCCCGAATTGGCATCAAGAAAGAACAACCTACTAATGTTCAGGAAACTAGAACCTAACGATTTAGATATTAACAGAAACTAAAAGAATTAAAAGAGCTAAATTCCCCAAAGCCCCTTAATAGCTACTCTAAGCAAGAAACAAGAAGCATATTAAAGTCAAACGTCTAGCGAAGAATTAACTAGAATCAAATTACTCAGAGATTGATAAAACAAAAAAAATGGAAAGATATTGACAATCAAAAACCATGAAGCACCTGAATTTACAATTTTGCTCAAGAAAAGATGCATTAAAGTCCAAAAGAATCTATTGCAATTAGAATCAAAGAACAAAAATCCATGGAATGAACAGGATCAATTACAGAATCCTCATCAAATATGAGGAAAATATCATCCATAGCACTCAAATTACTAATCCACATCGATCTACAGAGTTCTCGCTGCAATGAGTCGAGTCCAATTACTAATCTAAGCAATCAAAACCAACCGTATTAAAAGATGACGAGGATTAAAAGGAAAAAAGCCCTAGATTTCTTGCCTGAATCAAACAAAAAATCGCGAGCAGAAGACGCGCTCTCGCCATCGCAAGAACCCAGCGTTGCAAGTGTGAAACGAGAGGGGTAAGCGTGAGGAAGTATGAAAGAGAAAGCGAGAGTAGAGTAAAGAGTAACCGCCATTTATAATCTCTCTTTCTATATTAGGGTGACGTCACCCCGTCGTTGGCAAAGCTCAGGAGAAGCGAAGAGAGCGGGATGCTTAGTTGGGAGTGGATTATCTGGGTAGAAATGACGCAAATGCCCCTGGGAGTTTCGAACAACCTGGGATTATTCTGGACACGTGGAAGCGTCAGCGGATGGTAACCGGTGACGGTGATTTTTGAGGTGCGGTTACACGACCTTATCAACGATGATCGTCTTATGAAACGGGTAGGGTTGTTGTTTGACAGGATCCTCCAGCTAATCCGTTGAGATTTGGCTTAGTCGTCAATTTTAAAACTTTTTTTTAAAATATTGAGAAGGAAAAAAAAAAATTCCATATGATAAATAGGGTTCAGATCCTATCATAACATCCTAAGTAAAAAATTATGAACCACGTAGAGAGCAGAGAATTATTCAAACTGTCCTCATGCTTGATATCTGAATCGCTAAAAACTTCTATATGGTACAAAATATTCTTATAAGACTCAAACTCTAATTTATACATAATATTATAAGTAGCCTTGTAGCCATTGTAAATGTTATCCTACCCCTAAATTGTATTAATCCCCTAATTTTAACTCTCAAGTTAATAGGGTATTCTCATTTCATTCTACTAAAGCTAGGATGATAAGCTGGATTAGAAGGCGATTATTCTGGATGACGTGGAGTTAAATAGGATTAGAATGATAATTTAGAATGTTACGTGAGATTCGGAATGATTGTGAAATATTCTAAGCAGTTCATTACCTTGCTGGCTTCCTATAGCTCATAGTAGGCGGCCCACTACTATACAGTTGATGGGTCCCTGAGACTACAAACTTTCTTCGTGGGCCCAAGGCAATAGCCGTGTAAAATTGCAAGTGGCAATAAATTCTAAGCTATGAAGAAATTTTGCTGAAGAGGAGGAGAATCAAACAATCATCAATTAAGTTGCCTACCGAACTTTGTTGCTCATTTAAATTTACTAGTTGGATTGCACGTGATAATTTTTAATTTATTCTTTTATTATTGATTCATTTTATTAAGATTTATTTAATTTAAACCCAATGTCAAACATATGGATAGAATTTAAGAATTCAAAAGGATTGAATAATGGAATTATATTTAGGTATCAACTGGGTGATAATAGATTGTTTGCATCCTTAACAATAGAAAACAATGAATAATTTTATAAAAGAATTTTATTTGATACACAACATTGAGTTTACCAATGCTACCTATATACAGATGACAGTAGACGACCTATTTAATCATAATAATCCAATATAAATGTTACTAAAATAGTAGCATCAATTTTTTGCTTTAGTCCTACTTACTTCTATCATTGTAAATGTTATCCTACCCCTAAATTGTATTAATCCCCTAATTTTAACTCTCAAGTTAATAGGGTATTCTCATTTCATTCTACTAAAGCTAGGATGATAAGCTGGATTAGAAGGCGATTATTCTGGATGACGTGGAGTTAAATAGGATTAGAATGATAATTTAGAATGTTACGTGTGATTCGGAATGATTGTGAAATATTCTAAGCAGTTCATTACCTTGCTGGCTTCCTATAGCTCATAGTAGGCGGCCCACTACTATACAGTTGATGGGTCCCTGAGACTACAAACTTTCTTCGTGGGCCCAAGGCAATAGCAGTGTAAAATTGCAAGTGGCAACAAATTCTAAGCTATGAAGAAATTTTGCTGAAGAGGAGGAGAATCAAACAATCATCAATTAAGTTGCCTACCGAACTTGTTGCTCATTTAAATTTATTTTATTTTAACAAAAGATCTTGATGCGGTTTGGACCTTCAGTGCTAATCCTTCGGTTTTACCATTGGTCCAATAGATAAAATCCTAATCTTTAAATTCTAAATCAAGAAGTTATTCATCTCAAAATCAAGCCTACCTGTTGGTTGCCTTAGGTCAAAATTAATACCAACGATAAATTGAGGGGGGGGGGTGGGTGTTCAAATTGGGACTATATGCAATTTGTGTGGCAAGAAGAAGAAGAGTATCATGCACGGCATTGTAGATTTATTACATCTATATGGAGGTCTTTTTAATACAGGTTAAAGATTCCGAAAGTTTTAGAACTTGAATCTATGAAGCATACACTAGTAGAAAAACTAGCAATCTAGACGGAACAAACTAGACGGAATTTTTTTCCGTCTAGTTTGGGTCAAACTAGACGGAATTAATTCCGTCTAGTTTGTTCCGTCTAGGTTGCAACAAACTAGACGGAAATTTCCGTCTAGGTTGTTAATCTAGACGGAAAAGTCAACCTAGACGGAAATTCCGTCTAGGTTGTCTCAACCTAGACGGAAATTTCTGTCTAGGTTAAAGGTCAACCTAGACGGAAATTTCTGTCTAGGTTAAAGGTCAACCTAGACGGAAATTCCGTCTAGGTTGACTAGTCAACCTAGACGGCATTTCCGTCTAGGTTGAGGCAACCTAGACGGAATTTCCGTCTAGGTTGGACGGCATTTCCGTCTAGGTTGAGGCAACCTAGACGGAATTTCCGTCTAGGTTATGACAAACCTGGTCGACATCTATCCAAGTATAGTCCAGAAGCGCGCAAGCTCATGGAAAAGCAGGGCTACGATTTCACACTCGGAGAAGGTTTATACTTCGATCGAGGTCCTCGTAATCCAGCCAAAGCAGTATATGTACCAAAAGGTAAACCTGAGGATTATTATAAATATGGGCGAGGCTTAGGTTATGTTTCATCAGATGACGAATGTGGTTGGCAAATTATCGATCAAATTGCTAACAAAGCCAAGAAGGGATACTCTCCCGATGCTTCAGAGTGGGACTCCGATACAAGTCTGGGAGAAGTTTTCAAAACCCTAATGGCGAACATGACTACAGCTGATCCATCCACCATGGAAGACGACGATCAAATGCCAACATGGGAAGACCCGTGGGTTCACCATCTGAATATGCAATATGGCGATAGGTTCGAGCAAAGAGAACCACCCACTGAAGATAAAATAGTCCAGATTAACATGGGTGATGAGGCCAACCCAAAGCCTATATTCATCAGCGACAGTCTTCCCCCAGATGAGAAGGAGGAATTGATTGCTCTCATCAGGGAATATATCGACGTCTTCGCATGGAATTATGAAGACATGCCAGGGCTCGACCCCAATGTCGCAATGCACCGCCTCGATATCAAGCCGGATGCCAAACCTGTCAAGCAACAGCAAAGACGGTTTCGTCCGCAGATTATGGAAGCCATTGAGGCAGAGGTTAAGAAGTTGATCGAATCAGGATTTATCCGAGAGGAACAACATCCAGACTGGTTAGCCAACATCGTTCCCGTCATGAAGAAGAATGGCAAAATCAGGATTTGCATCGACTTCAGGAACCTGAATGAAGCATGTCCGAAAGACGATTTCCCTCTCCCGATCACGGATGTCATTATCGACAATACATGTGGATTTGAGAGGATGTCCTTCATGGATGGATTTTCGGGATATAACCAGATCAAGATGCATCCAGAGGATGAGAAGCATACGGCGTTTAGAACACCCCTCGGCGTCTTCTGCTATACGGTGATGCCTTTCGGTCTGAAGAATGCCGGTGCCACATACCAGCGAGCGATGACTAAGATTTTCCAAGAACATCTCAGGAAAACAGTCGAATGCTACGTTGATGATTTGGTTGTGAAAAGCCGCAACAAGGAAGATCACATCAAGGATTTGAAGACGATGTTCGATCTCATGAGGAGTCATCAATTGAAGATGAACCCCACTAAATCATTCCTTGGAATGTCCAGCGGAAAATTCCTGGGATTCGTCGTCACCACTAAAGGTATTCATATCGATCCCGATAAGGTGAAGGCGATACATGAACTGCAACCTCCTAGAAACCTAAGAGAGCTCAGAGGATTGCAAGGGCGTTTAGCTTATATCCGGCGTTTCATCTCAAATCTTTCTGGGAAGTGCCAACCGTTCTCTAAGCTGAACAAGAAAGGGGTATCATTTATCTGGGATGATGCCTGCCAAAAAGCGTTCGAAGATATCAAAACATATCTGGCGAACCCTCCTGTTCTCGTTGCACCGAAATCTGGTAAACCGTTCTTGATTTATCTCAAGGCGATGAACCACTCGATAAGTGCCTTACTAGCGCAAGACGATGATAACGGTCACGAACAGGCAGTTTATTACCTAAGTCGGACTTTGGTAGGCGCAGAGTCTCGATATCCGATGATAGAGAAAGAATGCCTCGCATTGGTGTTCGCAATGCAAAAGATGCGGCATTACCTGGTGGGACAGACGATCTACGTTATCTCCAATGTTAATCCAGTACGGGTGTTTATGACGCAACCGGCCTCTATGAATTGGCGGCTAGCGAAGTGGGCCCTTCTCTTGTCCTGGGCCCTTCTCTTATCCCAGTATGATTTGCACTTCAAACAGCAGAAGTCAATCAAAGGGCAGGCGATTTGTGATCTTTTGGCGGCAAACCCGACCACAGATACGGCAGAAGTGTATGATGACTTGCCGGATGAAACCCACGAGGTTAACACTACATCACACCAGCAAGTATGACAATTATATTTTGATGGTGCTTCAAGAGCAGTTAATAGAGTAATAACCCCGGGGTGTCCTACAGTTTCCTCTGGAGTTGGAGTAGTCTTAATCTCCCCGGGAAAGCATGTAATGCCCCGAGCTTATTCATTGACTGATCCGTGTTCCAATAACGTGGCCGAGTACAATGCACTTCTCATTGGACTCAGTTTCGCCAAAGAGCTGGGGGTCGAATATCTTGAAGCTTTTGGAGATTCGCAATTGATAGTCAACCAAGTTCGCGGTGAGTATGAAGTCAGGAATCAAGACCTGATCCCGTACCACCAGGAAGCCATCAAAATGGCAGAATCTTTCGAAGAATTCTTCATCGAATATATCCCTCGTCTCCAGAACGCTTATGCAGACGCACTGGCGGCACTAGCAGTATCACTGGCACAGCCTCCCGAAGCTGAGCTGTTAGTCACAGTACGG